CTTCTCGGGATTCTCTGGAGTACTACCAACATTCACTGAAGTTAAAAAATTCCAAGAATATCTGAAACAGTAAGCCTAGTCTTTGAGATATCAAGAATAGCAACAATCCAGAAATTGAGTTCTAACAAGTCCCACGTACGATGTGTAGAAAAGACCTCCATATCTAAGTATGGCAGGTATGTTTAAAATAATCTTTACCATAATCACACAGAGCAGAGCAGATTTCCTTCAAAGGGTTGATTATCCCACAGACAGCTGGCTTCTCACCATCAATGGAGCAGACACTAGTGTGATGGTCTCTGCAGTGTGATACAGAAAATGATCCTATACTGCTTTCCAGAGCGGCTCTACCATTTGCATTGCCTGTGGCTGCTCACAAGCATGTGCAAAGCAAAGTGAGGCAAGTGTGAGGGGACCCTCTTGAGATATTTAGAGCGTTTTCTTGTGTCTTCTCTCCTCTGCGGAACTCTGCCGTCACGTGTCATCACTTTAAGTAACCTCACAGTCCCACTAACCTTCTTTCAAAATAATGTTTACAGAAGTAATTACTTTTGGAACTTCCACAATGACCTTAATTTTGTTATTTAGGAAGTTAAAGGTTAAGCTGAGTTTTATTTTTTGTTTCATTTATTTATTGAAGGACTAGAAATTTGAAGAATCCTAAAACCAAACAGAATCTATGCCAATTTGAACCATGGGTTACAGCCAGTACTATAATTGTGTGGAGGAGGTTTCAATTATGCATTAATTACATAGCAAAGCCTCCAGCTGCCTCAAACAGTAGGGGAGATGTCAGTTGCAATGAGGTGTTAAACAATGAAAGAAGTGTTTTAAACTTGGAAGAAAAACTAGGCAAGATCTAGCCTTAAAATGTGGTCCATCGGGCTGGGATGTAGCTCGGTGGTACAGTGCCTACCTAGCATGTATGGGACCCTGGGTTTGATCCCAGCACCAAAAAAAAAAAAAAAGTGGCCCATCTAATTGCTTGGCCTCTCCATATTATGGCTAAAAAGAAAGACACTAAACTTAGTGATTTCTTTGCACTATAAATACTAGACTTGTAATAGATTGAGATAAACACTTCAAAGGTTCTGGAGAATAAAGACTGAAGGCAGAAATTCTCTTTTAACATTTTACAAACTTACTGTGAATATTTTACAACATCCAAACATATTTATAAAAAACATAAGCAGTTGTCAAATTACTAAATATTGTGAGAACTGTGTAACACCAAATTCACAAATCATAAAAAATTAAGAACTTTAACGACTACATGATCCAAAAATAAAAAAAGTGCAAAAAGCTCAATCAGGAGTAATAAAGCATCATATGAATGCAAGTCTAGTTCAAAGTGTAGACATGACCCTGTATTTCAACAAAGAAATTTAAAACTGGCAATAAATGCACTCACATTAATTACGGGTTGATAAAAGACACACAAAAATCCCCAAGTGTTTTATGTCAGGTACACAAGTCTCCCATTCTTCAATTTTTTCATTATGTTCCTTCTTCCTCGTTTATTTAATATCTATTATTATATAAACACTGTTTTAAGTAGTATAGCTACAAATACCAACAGAATAACAACCCCTTGTCTTTGAAGAAGTCACAATGTAGTTGGACACTAAAATACAACAACCAAAAAAAGCCAAATGGATATTTCATAGACTGTAAGTGGTGAAAAACTACTTTTGGATATTGATTACAAAGTGGGAAGGAAATACATGAATGCTGATACCTTGAACATTTTTCAAAAGAAATGAATGTAGTCCGCATACGGTTTCAATGTGAAATGTTCAACATGGGCTCATGTGTTGAATGTTTGGTCCTGAGCTGGTGGCACTACTTTAAGGGGGGTCTGGAAACTTTAGGAGGTAGGACCTGGATGGAGGAAGTAAGTCACGGGGGCCTGCCTCTGAAGGTACACCTGGCCGCCAGCACTTTCCTTCCTCTCTCTGCTTCCTGCCCGTCATAAGGTGAATAGCCTCAGTCTGCATGCTCCCACCGCCCTAGCACATGGGGGCCAAGCAACCATGGAAGGAACCTCTGATGCTGTGAGATAAAATAAATCCTTCCTCCTTAGGTTGTTTATGCAAGGATACAAAACTAACACAAATCCATGTTGTACAGGTTTGACAATTTCAGTTATATTATCAAATCTATTCAAGAACTAGTCCAAAATTGTACTTCTTATTTACCCAGTTGTACATTATTTGAGGAATCTTGTTAGGTGGCAGGTTCAATCAGAAGACTCACATCTACTAAAACTTAACCACAAAAATACCTAATATAAAAATTTCTTCTTCCCATACTCATAGAAAAAAGATTCTTGAAAATTATCATCAGAAAGTGCTAAAAAAAAGTCTTAAGACAAACAAAACTTAACATATGTACTTCTATGTACCAGGTTACCTATGTTTTATAAAGAAAGCTAATTTAAATTGAAGGTACTTTTTAAAACTAAACTGTACATGTAGCAAAACCTGCAAGTATCGCAGCTTATTTTGCTTCTCATTTTTAATCAGTCGTAAGTTATATAAAACCAGTATGATTTTCTTCTTGGAGGGAGGTTGCTTTTATTTTCTTTCTTAAAGAATCATCATTGATTCTCTACTGAGAAAGAAGCAACAGCATTCACACTTTTCTTTCAGGTATTAATTATGTTCTGAATAAAAGTATTCTCCTAGTTACCACTAAAAATACTTAATAAGAACTTGTTGACATTAGACCTTTCAGATAACAAAATACACTGGTCAGCAGGAGACCTGATTTTATTTCTTGCTCTACAACTAACTACCAGAATTAAAATAAAAGGCCAAATAACCCTTGAGGTTCTTTTCTCTCTCTGTGTTTTCATTCAGGAGTAAGAGGGAGGGAGGAAGGAAGGGAGTCAAGCTAGATGTATTTTATAAACTTTCTAGGTCTCAAAATTGTTTAATATGTTCAAGCTATTTTTGATTAAGAAAAGCACTTGTATGTACATTCTCACTAACACCACATAATTTGTGAAAGTTGCTATGTAAAGCTCTCAGTGATTGGTATTTGTTGGGTTCTAATTTGATTTTCAGCCTGTTTGTAAGATGTGATTCAGGTATGTAAATTCTCAAAGGACATTTTATTTTTCAGTATACTTTGAACAATAAGGAATTGAAACTGGCTTTTATATTAAGTACTAGAACAAATTTAATTTCTTATCAGTTGCAATTAATGACCCTGACACACCAGTAACACCATTATGTGAGCTCCTAGAAGGTTGGGTTTGTGGTGTACTTGTCTACTTAAGTTTGCTTTTTAGTTAAATGAATAAACTCAACAACTTAAACAAATGAGTTATCACTAAATTAATCTGAATCGTGTAACTGAGGCATTAAGCATGACTGATCAGATAAAGATTGAAACCTATTTCTAATATTGACTGAATTCCAAACCCCAAGAATCTACTTATAGCTAAGCAGGCAAATGTTTTATGAAATACTTTGCATTTTAATACTCAGGTACAGCTCAAACTTACTTAGGAAGCATGAATTAAGAAACTTGCTGTGGCCTTAACAGATTAAGTCCACTGGTGTTGCAAGGAAGGAAAAGCATGTGTATTCAAGTGGTTTGTTTTTTACCATCCACACAAAGGGGCTGGAACTGGAATTTGAGAAAAGTCACACAATCAATGGAAGGAACAACTAAGGAAGAAAATGTTCCCAATCAAATGTCAAGGAAGCACATTCATCTTGATCTTGCTCTTCAGTGGTGGTAGAAATGGGCTGCTAGAAAATGCCAGCCAAGGCCCAACTCCAGTGTCACGAGGTTGATCTGAACTTGAATTTGTATTACCCTAAAAATGCCATAAATCCTTGAGTGGAGAATCTAACACAAAACCAACTTAAGGCTTTGGTTACTGTTGGAACATCTGGCAAAAGCAATCTGGAGAGCTCGCTCTGGAAGGGTATACCCTCAATCCAGGATCTCTTCAAAGAAACCTGTGCTAAGGTTAGTGAGCACCAGTCCACAGTCGTAACAAACATGAAGACCAACGCACCTGCTATGCAGTACAAATGGACAACTCGACAACGTCAGCTGGGGGTGCCACAGGAAAGTACCATACACTTGAAAACCTTACAGCAGAACACAGTAACCCCCCATTTAACACCTCTCTTAATCTCCCAAATGTTATGTATTTTGAGCGCTTCTATTTTCTTAACTTTGTATGACAAAAAGCATTGTGACAGAAGAAAAGTATCTTAAAACCCTACATCCCTCACCAGTGTTTAATGGAGTACATACTTAACAAACGGTACAACAGAGGGCAAAAAAATCAGAAAAAAACTCATTTTTGCCATGCTGACTCTTATAGACTTGACAGCATTCTGAAAAATCACTTAAGCATGACTCATTATGAGTGGTACACCTATTTACAGTCAATAAGATAAAGAGAAATGCTACTGGAAAATGTGAAGTACTTAAATTTTAAGCCTGAAGTTGGTTGCCAAGGGGAGATTTATTTTGTACCCATTTCCATGATGCCAAATTGTAACTGAACTGACTTTAAAAAGGAAACTAGGAGCAGACATTAAAAACTTCAAAAAACTAAGCACCTATCAATGGACAAAGGGCATAGGTTTTATTTTCACTCTGCCAACTTTATTGCTGCCTAGGCTAAATAACTATGCACCCCACTTGCCCATCTCCTTGCCCAAGGTATGCACGCATCTAACGCGGAGAAAAAAAATTAAACCTGTTTTAAAACTCAAGCTCTTCAGGGAAAAAAAACAATTCATCTTAAAAGTTAACAGAATAATATTCTTTCCTCAGACTTTAGCCACAGGTTCCTGTAACTTTCTGTAAAGGATCCAGATATAGAAGAGTGTACTGTTTTGAAAAATTATCCTTTAGCTCTCTGTTAAATAAAATTTTGTTTTCTCCAAATAAGCTATCGTGAACCGAGTAACAACTACTTCTCAGTGACATCTCAGCATCCTGTAAAAAAAGTTGAACGCATTGCTTACTTCAGATCCTGCAGAAGGTCTTTTGCATTGAGCATGGTTATTAAAGAAGTTGTAGCTGCAGGAATGATGATAATAGGCGTTCGTGATCCTGTAAGACAAAATTTTAAAGACAGCAAATATATAATTAGAAGAAGAAATTGTACTTTCTTTACGAAAAATGAAAAGTTTTAAAATCTGTAACTTAATTTTTTTTGCATTAGCAATAATAAAATATTCAGTAATCAGTGTGGCTTCAGCACAGATTAATTGAGACAGATATAAGCACATCCATTCATATGGCTACACAGGCATATGAGCTCTGGCTTTGTAGCCTCGTCCTCTCAATGCTGCTTCTTAAGTAACTTTAAAATCATGGGCATGATCTCACCTTTTTTCTGATTTGGGGGAGGTCTTGCTTGAGAAACTATAAGGAAAAAAATCACAATTGAGTGTCACAAAAAAATTCTTATTTTCAAATTTATAATGAAAGCTTAAAAATTACTGGTATTGACATGACTAGCTATAAAATTAAAAACACACAAAACATCTATTTCTGTGCTTCATAAATATATTAAAATGTCTTAGCATTACTTAAGGATGTGCTGTTGCAAGAAAAGTGACTATATTACATTGTCATGTACTGTCGTGTTCATGGGTGTGCAGGTCTGGGAAAGGAAGAAAATCGCTGAATAACACACTGCTGACCACTGTCATCTATGTGTAAGACAGTACTACAAGAGCATGCAGCACTGCAGGAAAGGATAAAGGAAGGAAAAATGTACTTAACTATTTTAGAGGAAAGAGAAAAGCCTTATTGGGAGCTAAGCTCTAAAATAGTTCTTTTTCTTTCACTTCAAAAAAAAAGTAATTAAGAAAGGAACTGACCATTAAAAGCAAGGAATCAAACAGAGGTCTGTATTATCTAGAAATGACCTTATCAATAATTATAAGTGATATTATAAATAATATTATAGCTATATTAATTGATATTATTTAATAATATAGTAATTGTGTTGATAATATGACACTAATGTTAATTTTAATTAATTGTGCTTGTGTGAGGAAACAAATATGCATCCAGTTATACTAGTTTTATACATGACAGGCTTTATAATGTGTAGAAATATTTGTTAGCACAATGACAATTCCTGATGAACATTAGGATGGAAAGTACTGCATGTTCACTTTCAGTATTATTTATCCATATAATAAAATTTTATTATATACCCACACTGGAGTTTTTGTTTTTTAAAATCACAAAAATAAAAAATTAGAAGATTTAAAATTCTTAATTCACTCTACATGATGCTTTAATGGAGAACATAAGATAATAAACATTTGTCAAAAGACCACAGAACTTCACAGCACAATGAATAAACAGTGACATATGCACAACTTTAAAAAAATCATTTAGGAGAGCAAAATGTCTTAGGACAGAGTGTAGAATGTGACTTGAAAAGCTAAATGTATTATAGCTATGTAAAACAAGGTCATTGAAAAAAGGGGAAATGAGGTCGTAACAGAAGCAAAACCGGAAATTCGTGAAGTCTATAAGGCAAAAGGAAAGGTACCTAAGAATTGTAATCTAGCTGATACAGCTGTTACACATGGAAATATGGCTTAACAATTCTGAAACCACTGTGTATATGTATAGTGAGTATATAAATATATGTGCATATTGGAATTAAATAAGCTTACTGGTGGATTAGAGGAGAAAAATTCTAATTCAGTGTCAGTTCTTAGAAACAGATATCATCTTTAAACATTTTTGGAGTATGTTCCATTTTAAAGGCAGCAAACATGCTACATTTTAACCAATTCTTCGTATTCTTCTGTCTAGCTAGTTCGATTGTGATCTTTCCAGTCATACAAAGACACATTCACACACACCCATGTTTATTATTGTCATCTCATCTTTTCTCTTGCTGAGAAAAAAACATTAAAAGCTTCCTTAAAACATTTTTAGAAACAGAGCTCACAGATAAACCTAATTAGCTAGATGGTGAAGTCTGGAATATAACACTACTTAAGTAAATACTTCCTATTTGTTGGAGGACAAAAGAATGACATGAATAAACAGAAGGTATGAATGTGACTAAAGAAAATGGCAAGGAATGGGGAAGGAGGGAAGAAGCAAAGGAAGGGGAGATCTCAGTGTCATTTCAGTCAGAATTCCTTTTTTCTTTTTGTGGTGAGGAAGTCCAAAAATCAATTCAGGAATTTAGGGAAATATTTGTTAAAATAAAGGCTCAGAAGACTGAATGTAAGAAAAAGGCAAAATATAAATGCCCACACATACTAAAAAGTAACTACAAAGGAATATTAGCAGGCCCCGTATATAAGTAAGGCCAGGACTGTGATACACATACTAAAAAGCCTGACATAAAGGAGGGCGGGGTGATAAGGAGTGTGTATAGCAGAGTGATCAGTACCAAGAGCCTGTACTGAGATGATTTAAATTCACATCCCCATTTGCCAGTGCCATGGCAAATTACACTGGTAAGTTAATTAACTCTGCTCAGCCTCAGTGTCCTCCACTGTAAAACAGAGATGATGGCTTGCACACGCTGATACTGGTATGAGGATTTTAAAAAGTGAAGTGTATTAAGTCCTTACTGATCTCTGCAGCTATGCTGCTGCTTCCACTTCACAACTTTAGCAAATGCAATGACTGCCAACTTGCAAGCCAAGAAAGGGACATGAGAAAAAGCACTACTGTTGCTTTGCTTAACTTGAAATGATTATACTCTACATTTATTCAGAGGCTTGTACAAGGCACTCTACTTACATTATTATTAAAAGGCAAATAAAAGGATACTTAAATCTTGCCCTCCAGGAAGTGTTGGTAAAGTACAAAAGCCAGATCATAAACAAATACACAAATCTGAACATCAAGTGTATACACCAAGAAAAGTGTCCTTTAGATAAAATATTTAGAAAAGGTCTCCTGAAGAAAGTGACATTCAAGCTGGAATTTGAAGGATGAAAAGGAGGCAACTTGCAAAGAACAAGTAGGCGAACCATTCACAGAAATGCTTGCAAAGGAGAAAGGCAGGAAGATTGCTGTGCTTCTGGAACTGAAACAAGGCAAATATGTAAACCATGGAGAAGACAGAAAGAAAGAATGGCCAGAGACGAGACTCAGAGTATATATAGGAACCATTCCACACAGACTTTTATGTAATGTCACATACATAGACATATACATGCATTTTTTTTTTCTGTTGTGATGGGGTTTATGTTGTTCAGGTTGGTCTGTAATTCCTGGACTCAAGTGACCTTCCCACCTCCAAGGAGCTGGTACTACAGGTACGTGATACCATGTGTGGCTTAAATTGGGTGTTTGGTTTGGTTTTGGTTTTTTGGTACTAACAGTGGTTTCAGGGGGATTTTTTGTTTTTATTTTTTTCACCTGGAAGTACTGGGATTTGAACTTGGTGTCTCCACCATTTGAGTCATGCACCCATCCCTTTTCACTTTTATTTTCCATAGGATCTCATGCTTTTGCTTGGGACCACAATCCTCCTACCTATGCCTCCCATACAGCTGGGAATATAGATGTGAATGACCACACCTGGCCCCTAAGTTTGGATTTGAGTCCTGTAACTTTAAAGTTAGAAAGTGACATGATTTCATTTTTGTATCACACCTTCTGCAAAAGAAAAATAATTCAGACAAGGTATCAAAAGGAGGACAAAGTGTGAAAGCAAAAGTTCAGTTAGGACTATTACAGCAGTCCATAATGGTGGTCCTCAAGTGTGAAGCTTAAGGGTTTTTTAATGCTGCCTGAAAAAAGGCGAATTGCTAAAAAGATGACTGTGTACTTTTGTACTATTTCATCCTTAATTTCTATATGAATCTTGTTGAGGACCAGAAACAAAAAGGCAACAGAATGACATTAGTCTGCTGAGCAATTTAAGATGTTGTGGTCTAGACAAATAATGGTCTTCAGCTGGGGTGGTGGAGATAAAGCAAAACTGGAAGCAGAGATACAGAAAAGTAAGTCTGACAGATTAGGAAAGAAGAAAATACGAAGAACGAAGAATGTTGATGGTGGCACTGCTTATATATAAAGAAGCATAAAAGTATCGAGCAAAAGATCAGAAAAATTTGTTTTGAAAAGCTTTACAATGCCTATGTCATATCTAAATTAGAACAGATAGTTAATACAGTGAACAAATCAGAGATGAGATGTCTAACTGAAGATATAAATTTGGAAATTAGCACATAGACTTATAAGAAATGCAACCAGCACATAAGGTTATAAGCTGAATGACTGAATAGCATGGGAACTATATATAAAATAGATGGAGCAAACTTTTTCAATCACACATGAGCAATATCAAGGAAACAGACTAGAGCCACAGGCCATCTACTCACTGCTGAAGATCTACTAACTAGAAGTTTGGAATTAAAGCCAGAAAATATAGATAATGCACACATTAGAAACCAGGGTGAGGAAAGACAGGACATGTGCAAGAGAGTAAATCAGGCTACAGGAAGGAAATGATAGCGAGGACTACAGCTCATCAACACTTGTATTTCTGAATCCAGGAAAAGGTGTCCACTGTTATTACACCCCCAAAGAAATTCCTTAAGTTTGATATTTTAGAGGTTTTAAGTGTTTAAATATAAATATTTTAAAATACTAAATTTAGGGCTGGTGGAGTAACTCAAGTGGTAAAGCACCTGCCTAGCATGTGTGAGGCCCTGAGTTCAAACTCCAGGACCACCACCAAAAAATATATATATTTTTTTAAAAGAACTTGCTTGGCACAATACAAATATCTGACAGAAAGATAAAATGCTCAAAAATGGAATTCCTTTCTTGAGGCATCTCACCTAAGGAAAAAACTAGTCTGATCCCCATTTCCAAATGATCCATCTCTATCTAACAAATAAATAGTATAATTCTATAATCCCTCATCTACTACATATTACAGTGCCAGGTATATTTAGGGTATTTGTTTTTTACTTAGATTTTAAAAGATCGTGATATAACTGAACATGTCAAATAAACTATTCCTTCAAAACTGGGCAGTACTCCATCAGCAAATATATTCAACATTTATGCAGCAAAACTAAAGTCAAAAAAAAAAACCTAAAGTCAAGATTTCAAACTACAACATTCATTAAAATAGGTCCTTTTTGTCAAATGAGTGCAAAAAACTCAGCTCCTTTTAGAATGGTAGGCAAGAACTGTGGTTACATGGGTGTGGAGAAGTAAATGAAAGAAGAGAAGAGAATTCCCATGGAAGAGCATCTGAGAATTTAGGAGGCATTTGTGTAGACTAATTTCCACCTTTGCAGTGCACGTTGGCAGAGTGAGAAAGCACGATAGGATATTACAAAGTGAGAAGGCTGAGAATCCCTTACTTTACACATGGTTATTCTCAAGATCACATCAGAACCTAACCCCTCCCTTAACTTCATCTTACCACACCACACACCTACATTTGAGCAACGATTTTAGATACCAGTGCCTTCCTTCCCTGCTCCTCTCCTTTGATTTTGAGAAAATGTGAAATGGAGACAACTTTAAGTCATGGGCACACAAAACTAGATCAGAATCCTCAGGTAGGGATTTTTTTTTTTTTTTTTGACCTTGTATGTCATTTCTGAATTTCTCACTGATCTTCATTAGAATGACAAGCCATAACCCCCTACCCATCCCTCCCTTCCAAGAACAATTCTGGGGCTGTGCTTCAACTGCTTCCACAAATACTACTGTACTCATAGGAAGTATTCTTTGGACCCAACCCTATCTGCTCATCCCAGTTTCCTTCACTTTTTTCTTCCTTCCTGAAAAGTACTCCTTTAGCTCCTCCTACTTCCTGGCAAAGAGCCTAGGTACATGAAAGGTATTTTAATAACATCTGTTGAATTCAGCTGTTCTTCCTTATATTCTCACAACAGCTTTTGATGTAGTCATCACTACTTAAAATGGCCCTGACACCTGAAATAAGCTACATCCAATTGCAACTATAACATGGGTGAGGGACCTCTTCTCTCAGAGAGAGAGAGACAGAGAGAGGAAGGTAGGGAAGGAGAGAGACTCTACTAGCCATGTCTAAGGGGGTATGAAACCACAACACAGTGAAATTGCCTGCAAAGTCACTCCAGTAAGTCTCACATAATCTTAATATGACACTTTCACAGTGCTTCCAGAAATATTTAGTATTTACAATCTACGTAATTTTAGAAGTTGCCCGTGTGGCAACATACAATGAAAACAAGATATCCAAATCTGCACTGCTGCTACTGCTATCACCCAGATAAATTCTTGCCCATGCCTTTCCAATCTTTTTCATTTTGTTCAATCACTTTGAACAGCACTGAAGTTACACTAAATGGAAAAAAATTAAACACCAAAAGTGGATATAGTATTGACATCTACATGCATCTATAAAGACCATTCTTTGTAGGTATGAGGAGGAGGGGGAAATCTTTCCAAAGTAACTTTATTACTACCCTTCCTTAATGAATTTTAAAAAGTTATTTGTTTTATGTGCTCAATAACACGTGTCTGAAATTCTAAACACCAAAGCCACACATCCATCTATTAAGATTATGATACTAACACACCTATAGTAAAAAAAATTTACATTTGCACATACTATTATGAGTCTAGGATAAAGAATTGGTGAGAAAAGGAATTACACATAGACAGCCATTCAAAACACTTTCAAAAACTCTTAGCCAAAACAAAGTAATCCTCTTAAAAGTTTTCTGAACGCTTACCTACAGCCACTTATTCAAGTAAGTATCCGAGTGGTATAACTTTAAGTCATTATGAGAAAGCACAGTGCTATAAAACCTATGTTACTGCCAAACAGTGCTACATAATCTATTTTATCAATAACTTTTACATCAAATTGGGGGAAATACTACTTTAGTAAAGAATATTATAAAATCCAATCAAGCTTTGAAACACACTGTATGAAAATAAATGATTCAGCATGCTTTTCATTTTAGCTTCTTTATGTTTTTCTATTAAGAATATAAAGATTTGGTAACAGTGCTGACCAAAGTTTAGCAATCACCATATGTATATTATCAGTTTTGAGAGCTGCTTAAGCAACTTTGATAGTCAATTTAAAGAAAAATGACCTTTCATGATTCTAAGTAAAATTTCAGTTTCTTCAGACACTATTATCATCTGTAAGAAAAACAAAAACCACCATTTTATCTTTTTACCTGGTCTTGGTACTGGCTGTGCTGCAGGAGTTTGAGTCTTTCGGGCAGATGCACCTTCCTTTAAAAGAATAAAAATTGATGTGTGACATCAAAGTTCTTTACATAATAAACATTTTGATCACTACACAGAAATCTCATATTGCTCTTTTGTCCAGTCATTCAATCAAACCCTAGGAATATGGAAGATTTATTTTAAAAAAAAAAAAAAACACCTCTATCTTTCATATAATTAGTTATGAGGTACAATAAGAGAGATCTTTAGTAGAATATAAATTTCACTTGTCACCATGAACCAGTTACTGTAACGATGTTTTTAATGATTTGCTTAATTACTAACAACTGCTATTATTTTAAAATCAAGTCAAACTTTCTCCTCTAAACAATTCTAGAGTGAATACATGATAAGTGACCTCATGTTAGAAAGATATAAACAATGTTATTTTGGAGTGCATTTTAAGAACACAGAACAATTTTGAACAAATAAATGCCTTTAAAATATTCAGGAAAAATATTCTGGTAACTATGAGATGTTATGTGTTTGTTATATCTGAATTATGAGCAAATAAGAATACATTAAACACTAAGCAAATCTCAGCTAATGGCTGAGCATGTGATATGTCCAAGAAAACATGCTAAGTGCTGAAGTACATCAATTATATACTCAGGAATAGACGCCTCTGGAATATTTAAGATACTAAAAAGATGCCTACCTTTAATGCAACAGCTTCAATCATACACATAGAAAGCAGTAAAGTACATTTCACAACTATTAATCTGTGGAGATTCTATTCTAGTTGTACTCAACAGAAGGAAATGTGACAAATATCAGGATGAGGTACACAAACATAATAAAAATCACTATTAGCATCACAAGAAATATTTCCAAAAAAAATTACCAAAAAAATGTTTAATTATGTTACATTCTCTTCAAAAACTGAGATTTTTTTACATGGTAAAATCATTTGGAATAACAGGTTACATCACAGCATTTTTAAAAAACTATAAAAATTAGTAGCAACAGAGAAAATGTTTTCACTTTTAATACAATGGTATTCCTATCATCCAGTCAGAATATCACATAAACTATTATTGAAAGAAGCAACAGCCAGCAGTAATTAGCAAAAACTCCTTGAAGAGGGAAAAAAATAAAGCATCTGAGGATAGCAAAATATCCTTTTGCAAGACACTCATGCATTTATTGAGTTTATTGTACTTAACACTGAGTTATTCTGGGTGCTGACTTCATGGATGTATTCATTCTGTGAAAACTCATCAGGCTTACTTATAATCATATTTCTCCAAGTAAATTACACTCAAGAAAAATTAAATGTAAAACAAGGTGAGTTGTCATTAAAGTGAACATCACGACAAGGTAGAACATTTTCTAGTTATATTTGTCTCTAAGGTCACACTGGAGGACCTGGTTTTAGTCTTCTTTGTAATCCCAGTGTCTACAGCGTAACAGGCATTGAACAAATGTTGACCAAACTGAATCCAGTTAAAAAACAAAAAAAATCAGCTGGGCGCTGGTGACTCACACCTGTAAATCCTGGTGACTCAGGAGGTAGTGATAAGGATCACGGTTCGAAGACAGCCCAGGCAAATAGTTCGTGAGACCCTCTCAAAAATACCCATCTAAAAAAAGTGCGGGGGGGGAAGGGACTGGTGGAGTGGCTCAAGGTGTAGGCCCTGAATTCAAGCCATAGTACCACAAAAAAAAA